CGTAGCTCGCACGAGTTGTGAGCCTCCAAGTCAGGATAGCCCAGGCGAATGTTGGCGGTGTAGCCGGACTGGCGCCCAGCAACTTGGCCTCTCCGAAGATCGTGGTAATGCTCTCTACAACTGTGCCGTTGAGAATATACGATGAGGAGTCCCAGGCGTTGCAGTTACCGGATTCGAGATCATCCATGATTTTGTCCACTTTCAAGATGGTCAGAGACATGAGTGAAGTCAGCAGTTGTATCACCGGGATGAGAGGTTCCTGGCGAGCCGTGACTGCTGGGAATTCGCGGAAAAAGCCGCGGAAACTGAAGGCTTTGAGCCAGTCCTCGATGGTAGCCGCAGGTAGGAAGTCCTTCGCGACCAGGTCTGCGTGTACCAAGGCCAAGTGAAGGATATGCAGCATCTCCGTAGTCTGCGCGACGACCCATTTCTCTGACGCAGGCTCTAGTATCGACTCGTCGACGTCCCAGCCATAGCCGGTGTCCAAAGCGTCGCATCTTTTGGAGAATGCTTTGAGCAACTCGTCTAGGGCCTTTCCGCCTGAGGGACCATCTTGCGCTGCTGCGATAGCCTGTCCCAGCTCTTCAATCCAGCCGGCGCCAATGCTGAGGTAGTCGTTGCCGTAGATGGTTTGGCTGCGCAAGTTGGACGCGCAGCCCCACGAGACCAGAAGCTGGCTGATGCGTATGATGGACGCGCACGTCGAATGGTAGACGTCGAGTATGTGGAGGCGGCGCTGGTCCTTTGCCTCGAGATGCGCGGTCTTGGAAGCGAGCGGTGAGGCCATGATGGACGAGTTTGGGACGAAAGTCGAGGCGCCTAGATTCCCGACTCCAGCGGCTTCCTGTACGCTGAGGGCCTCCTCTTCAGTGAGTCCACTTAGCAGCTGTGCGGTTGGCCTGCCCTGCCATTCCTGGACGACCAACTGCAGCGCTGCATATTCTGATATCTGCGCCTCTTTGGCCAGCCACAGGCTGTCGTCCTTGATCTCTGCTACATCGTAGTGCTCGCTCTGGGCGGGCGTGACGCTGATGGGCGCGGTCTTTGATTCGAATTTGCTCTTCTCCTGCGACGACGGGTCGGGAAAGGGCTTCCACGGGTGGGCTAGGATGTCTCTGTTCTCGTTGGCGGTGAGGAAGGCGCGTAGGGCGTCGCTTTTGGACGCGGTTTCGGGGTCGCAGAGAGCGCGGTATGCGATATCCCAGGTCCTGCTACTGTCAGCTACGTTGCCGCGCTCGATGCAGGTAAACATACACAAGCTGCTGCTCGCCCTTGAGGCACTTGCCCAGGTCGAACTCGGGGGATTGAATGGGAGCCATGGATGCGCTGCAGTGCGCGAGTAGGAAATCAGCTACCCAAAGGCCATGAAGGTGCTGGAGAGGCGCGGGGGTGGTGTTGCCGAATGTTTGGCTTCAATGGCTACGAAAGTCGCGAAAGCCAAAGCTCACGCGAAAGTCGAGCTAGTACGTGCAGGGATCATCACAAGGGCTCTTTCTTGCGATCCTCCCCAATACCTTGCACACACACTTCAATGTTTTGGAAACAGACCAGATGCGCATAGAGATATTATCGCCATTCAGTTTCGCTCGTATTGGTTCACGTCGCAATGGTGTTTCGTCTGATTTTCAACTACCTCCTGCCAGCAATGCAGCAATTGTCCGCAGTCTGCCTGCACCGAGAGAATGACCCGCTCTCTGGTAGACACAGAATCTGAATAATTTGTTACATTTTCTACATCCAAAAGGTCGCGCAATAGCGGCGTTGCTGTACCAGACATGAGGTACAGCACCGTAGCACTAAGGACCGATTCATGCCACCTCCGTGCTAACTCCGCAGCCTCAATGTCTGAATAGTGCATCATTGAAAGAAAGAATAGAGTGCGCCTTTGACTCAGACTGCGGTCTGGTCCTAGGTTGGGCTGGGTCTTTGAGATGGTACTTTGGTATACGGTATGATTGCAATAGCTTTGATGTTGAGCATCATTGAGTCACCCCACCACTCTGGTTGACAGCCAATCCTTTCCACCTTCCCGTCCCAAAGTGCACTCACATCTCCTGGCGCGCACTCCGTTAATCGGCAGCTAATATAATCCAAACGACGACCTCGCCGTCAAAGGGCCGGCGCGCTTTCTGCCATCTGACCGCCGGAGGGTACTCAGACGAAGCTATATAACAGCCACCGGGCTTCCAACGCGACGGCAACGCTGACGCAGAACACCGCCCAAGATGCCCGCCCTCGAACTGATCGACCACTCGCCCAGCAATCCCACGCCCTCTCCGCCCATCCCCACTGCTTCCAACGTTGTACTCATTGACAACTACGACTCGTTCACTTGGAATGTCTACCAGTACCTCGTCTTTGAAGGCGCGAAAGTGACTGTATACCGAAATGACGAGATTACCCTAGAAGATCTCATCGCGAAGAACCCTACACAACTGGTCATCAGCCCAGGTCCAGGACACCCTGAGAAGGATGCAGGCATTAGCAATGCGGCCATCAAGCACTATAGCGGCAAGATCCCGATTTTCGGCGTGTGCATGGGCGAGTGAGTTCTCGGTTTCCGGTGGGCGCAACACGCGGGGCAGTGCTGACACGATCAAGACAGTGCATTTTCTACAGCTACGGCGGTACTGTAGACGTCACAGGCCAGGTCCTGCACGGCAAAACGTCGCCTCTTAAGCACGACGGCAAAGGCGTCTTCGCAGGCGTCTCGCAAAATGTCCCCGTTACGCGCTACCATTCCCTCGCCGGCACCCACGGCACTCTCCCAGACTGCCTCGAGGTAACTGCGACCATACCCGCCAACGAAGAAGCCGAAGTCAAGGAAGTCGTTATGGGCGTGCGACACAAGGAATACGTTATGGAGGGTGTGCAGTTCCACCCGGAGAGCATCTTGACAGAGGACGGTCGGCTCATGGTGAGGAACTTTCTAAAGATGCAGGGAGGCACCTGGGCCGAAAATGAGCGACTACAGAAAGAGGCACATGCCCAAGCAGTCGGTGCTGGTTCCAACGGCACAGCAACCGGCGCAAAGAAGGACAAGCAGACATCCATACTGGAGAAGATCTACGACCATCGCAGGGCCTCGGTTGCTAAGCAGAAGGAGATTCCGTCCCAACGGCCCAGTGATCTACAGGCTGCGTACGATCTCAACCTAGCGCCTCCTCAAATCAACTTCCCCGAGCGCCTCAGGCAATCGCCCTTCCGGCTGTCGCTCATGGCCGAGATCAAGCGCGCATCGCCTTCTAAAGGCATAATCTCGCTATCCGCATGCGCTCCCGCTCAAGCAAGGCTATACGCAAAGGCCGGTGCAAGCACGATATCCGTACTGACTGAGCCGGAATGGTTCAAGGGTAGCATCGACGACCTCAAAGCTGTTCGACAAAGCTTGGAAGGCATGCCGAACCGTCCCGCCGTCCTGCGCAAGGAGTTCATCTTCGAGGAGTACCAGATCCTGGAAGCTAGGCTCGCGGGTGCCGATACAGTGTTGCTAATCGTCAAGATGCTGGATGAAGCAGTCTTGAAGAAACTCTACGACTATTCCCGATCACTCGGAATGGAGCCTCTCGTCGAGGTCCAGAACGCGGAAGAAATGGAGATTGCGGTCAAGCTGGGCGCTCAAGTCATTGGTGTGAACAACCGTAACCTTGTGAACTTCGAGGTCGACATGGAAACTACCAACCGTCTAATCAACATGGTTCCAAAAGAGACAATCTTGTGTGCGCTAAGCGGTATTGCCGGTCCCAAGGATGTCGAACCATACATCAAGAGTGGAGTTGGCGCAGTTTTGGTGGGTGAAGCGCTGATGCGCGCGTCCGACACCGCTCAGTTCATCGCGGAGCTTCTGGGTGGCTCATCTACCAAGAAGACGGGAACAGCATCAAACCCGATGGTGAAGATCTGTGGTACTCGCAGTGCCGAGGCCGCAAAAGTCGCAATCGAAGCAGGAGCTGACCTTATCGGCATGATCCTCGCGCCAGGGACCAAGCGAACAGTCACGGCTGAGACAGCTCTGGAAATCTCGGAAACCGTACACAAGACCAGAAAGCCTGTGGTTTCGAAATCAGGGCTACTTGCTGAATCAAAGACCGCTACCGATTTCTTCGAGCACGGCGCAGCACGACTGGTGTCAAGTGATAGTCACGCGCTTCTCGTAGGCGTGTTCCGAAATCAGTCACTAGAGTACGTACTTGAACAGCAGCGACTGCTGAATCTAGACGTCGTACAATTTCATGGTCAGGAGCCATTAGAGTGGGCAAAGCTTGTCCCGGTTCCTGTCTTGAGAGCATTTAACCCGCATAACCTTGGTATTGGCTCAAGAGGGTATCACGCTCTACCACTTCTGGATGCAGGATCCGGCGGCTCGGGTCAGCAGTTGGATCTTTCAGATGTCAAAGCAGTATTCGCGAAAGACGATGGTATCAAGGTCATATTAGCAGGAGGATTGAACCCCGACAACGTCCAAGCTACGCTCGCTGGACTCGATGAGTACCGGGACCGCGTGCATGCTGTCGACGTCAGCAGTGGTGTGGAAGAAGATGGCAAGCAAAGTCTGGATAAGATACGGGCATTCATCAAGGCGGCGAAGAACCAGTAGTGGCGGTTTAGAATATGACTACCGAAGCTGAAGGTGTTTTTCGGAATGATCAAATGTAACACAAATGGCCCAGCATCCTTCTGATCATTCCTTCAATACTCTTTTTGGTCCTTTTTTCCTTACGAATCAGGCAGCTCATAATTCCGACAATGGTGGTTTGTGCCGCCGCAAATAGCGGCCTGGAGTCGCTTTGTCGGCGTCTCTTACCTCTTGATGGCAGCCGCACGGTCCCGGCAAACGCTATATCACTTCGACCGCTGCCCACCACCACAAGGTAAGACCAACAAGGGTCTCGCCAGATTTGCACCCTCAATCTGGACACCATAAGCCCTCATCTACGTCCTCAAGCAAGTTTACACACTATCACTCCTACACTCTACAATCCAACCACCGCGCCGCTACGATGGGTGTGTTGGATAAGCTTACTATTGCCGTTGTCGGTACCCATCCCCATGATGCTAAACAGATCAAAGCCTGGATCGAGCGAAACGGCGGCAAATACTCTGCGAAGATCACCAAGAGCGTCACCCACCTCATCGCCAGTAAAGAGGCTTACAAGAAACCCGCCGACGCTGTACAACAAGCCCACGACCTCAACATCCACGTAGTCAGCTATGACTGGTTCGACGACTCGTTGCAAGCGAAGAAGAAGTTGGGCACTAGGAAGTACACGTGGGAAGTGCTTATGAAAGAGAGGAGGAAGAAGAAAGAGCTTAAGAGGATAGGTACTCTGGCGGATGGCAGTAAGTTCAGGAAAGGTTGTGAGAACATCGAAGGGTTGACTGGATCAGGTACGTCGAAGACATCTCCCGTTGTTGCAAGAAAGCCGAGGAAGAGCAAGAGTTTCTTCTTTGCCACGTCTGCCCCGGCTATTGCGCCCATCCCTTTTGTTTCTGCAAAAGAAGACCTCTTACGTAGGAGGGCAGAAAGAGCAGCTGCGTTGGCTGAGGGTACTGGAGCTGGAGCTTGTGAGAGCCAGGCGAAGGACTCTGCTGAAGTCATGAATGACACTCCAAGCCCGGCCAGCCAATCTCCAAAGCCTGTCGCTCTTATCCAAACACCTCTCAAGAAATCCAAGCCCCATGCTACCTCAAAGAAAGTTCCACAGGCTAAGATTTCTCACTGGAAAGAGGATTATCACTACTATCAAGATACGGACGGCTTCGAGTATAAGATTCTGCTCGTACGCGTGGACAATCCTCCCTATGGCTCTGCAAACGTAAGCTCTGGCCGTACGAAATGCTTGCGAGACATATACTGACCTCGCACCTCTGCCTCTACAGTACCACATTGGGCTACTGGAGAGCCATACAAAGCCGCATGTGTACTGGGCGCTTGTACAGTACAAGCCCGCCAAGATCTTACCGGCAGCGGAGAAGGAAGAGAAGGAAGATGTCAAGCAACAAGTGTCTCTGAGCAGGGACGAAATCACCCAGCGCCCCGAAGCGAGCCGCCTGCTATCCATCATCACCAAGCCAGCCCCAACACCAGATGCTCCGTACAACGGCGAGCTATGCCCCCGCGGCAGTGACTTCGCTACCGCCTTGCGCTCCTTCCGCCACGCTTTCCGCGACCTCACCCTCCTCTCCTGGGAAGAACGCTTCGACGACGACAAAACCCTTCAGAAAGCGCGCGCCCAGCTCCTCAACATCGAGCCCTTCTGGTACGGAAAACCGAAAATGGGCATGCCAATGGGCAAGTAGCATCCACTTACAAGAAGACATGAGACACGTGCTAACTTCATACCAGGCCGCCTACCCCAAGCACCAAGCATGTATACAGGCACAACAACCGGCCTCGAAGTCCTCGGCGACATATCCGACACCTACGTCCGCGGTACCTCTCTCCTCCCCTCGATCTCGCACCCCCTCACCCGCCACGGCATCATTGGCGGCCCCATCCACCGCGACGCTGAAGACGCCCGCAAAGCCGAAGAAGCCCGTCTCCAAGCCATCGCCGACGCAGAAGAAGTCGAAAAGAGGAAGGCTGGTCTACTGCGCGCGAGGGATATGAAGGTCAACCATAATCGACCCATGTTTAACGGGCCGATGGGTAGACCGACGGTGGATGCGTATGGCCAGCATATCAGTTATAGGGGGGATGGCGGGATGAGTAAGTATACGGTGCCGATGCCTGTGGGTGGGGGTGGGAATGCCAACAGGGGGTTTGTGGCGCCGGAGTTTGCGCATTTGCTGAGTGGGAGGAACAGGAAGAGGAGGCTGTTTCCGAGTGAGAGGTTGGAGTGAGGGGGTTGAGGTTGGGTGTCGGCATTTGGCATTTATGGGACTTGAGACATGAGGGTCGAAAGAGAGACTTTGGTTCTTGGTCGCGGTGACCTCGGGAGTCATCGGAAACGTATTTGGTGGCGATGTTCTGCCTCTTGCATAGTATGGCTTCATAGGCTAGGGCTATATTCTTCTACCGACTATCGAGAATCTAAATTGCGAATGGCAACTTGCATCGAAGTTGCTCTATGCTTGGTATCCACTCAATGAGTCAATGCACTAACCCAATGTGTCACTAGCGCCCGGCTCCCTCAAGACGCGTCCCTCCATTTCTCCTCCCGTTCCACCTACACCACGCTCCCCATCAACCCTCATGTCGCCTGTGACGCGATACATCTTTCTTATCGAGTATCTAGCTTCAATGAAAAATTATCGTGCGAAACCTACAAACGCGCAAAGCCATGCTGCTTGCCGCGGAGCAGCTTGACGTAAGCCGCAAGTACATCGACGCGTATCGCGACCATCAATCCGCAAATGTCTAAAGGCAACCTTGGAATGGCGAGAACGCTCCTAAGGTAGGAGCTATCTGGAAGTGGCAAAGCAGTCGACTTAGTGGGCACATTCTTCACCAGTACAGATGTTAACGCAGGTAAAGCAGCGGGCACACCGCTTTGTCCCAAGAGTTTGGCGTTGCGCAATGCTTGCGACTTCTTGTTAAGATGTTGTTATATGAAAGGTTTGGGGTTGCGTTTTGATAATAGCAAAGGGTATGTTGCATGAAAGCTGGATTGCTGACAGAAAGCACGGTAATTAACAAAGTGGGGATGGGTTTGCAATGTGTGATGAGAAGGATATAACGTGCCTACTTACACCTCATTCTCACAGCATCTATTCATCTCGTCAGTACCAGGAGTGGATCTTCACCGCTGCTTCATTCAGGCATTCGTTCCATCTTTGGCACATCTCGACTATGTCTGGCTATCGCGGACGTAGTACGGATAGAGGTGGTGGTGAGCGTGGCGGACGGGGCGGACGTGGTGGGTCAGTGGGATCGGGCACATCACAACGACCTTCGAGAGCTGATATCCAACAAATCACTCCGGCGAATTTCGCACAAATCATCGACAGGTACCAAGCGGCGTTTCCTTGCGAGAGATGCGGCGACTTCAACCACAACATCCTGCAATGTAGACGAGTGCAACCGCGCTGGCCAAGTTGGCTTTGGCAAAGGATCATCGACCTCAACATAACTGCACAAGCAAATGCCCATATTGCTTCACTTCAACGAGGAGGAAGTGGCCTGACCCCGTACCACGCGTCTCCGCAGAATATGGGCTTCATGGGAAATTTCGCGCAGCCTCCTACAACCTCAACCTTTGGATCACAAAGCCAAGGTTTTCAGGGCAATTTCAGTAACTCGCGAGTCCCTGGTCCGATGAACCCTCTAAATGACGGCATGAACAATCTTACAGTCGCCGAACCGGCTCGGCAGTCACCCAACAGCCTCAGTCAAGATGGCTCAGTTCAAGGTCGCGGTCGTGGGGGTTATCGCGGAGGCACTCAGAGAGGCAATCGTGGAGGAAACCACGGAAGTTTCGCTGGTACGGCAAGCGCGACCTCCCCAGTAACATTCGCTGGTGAGCTGAGTTATCCGCGCTTCCGAACTCTGACCATCGAAGACAAAACGCCGAATGGTGTGGGTAGAGAGTGGAAGCTCTCTGAAGCAGTGAAGAATGCCAAAGAGACTTCCGGTGCGATCGAGTCACCCACTCATCCTATACGTCAAGATTTCCTCGACCTCAAACCGGAGAGCAAAGTGCTTACAAACCACTTCGAGTATTCGGTTTCAGCAGACGTATTCTATGAGTACAAGATCAACAACATCGGGAGCAAAGACAAGAGGAAGACGAAGCTAGTTTACCAGAAAGCTATCGAATCTTGGGAGTTCTTGAAATCACACAGCACTAAATTGGTCACAAACAACTTTGACTCGATCGTCGCTTGGCACAACCTTCATCAACACATCTTGGAAGATCCAATTAGAGGCGACAACGAATCCACTGGCCTTTGGAAAATGTCACTTCAAGACGGTACCGGTCAGCTCGAGCTCGAGTTCGAGCTGGTGAGAAAGATTGACGTCAGTGATTTCCAACGATACTCAAACGCGGATCCTCAGCAGGAGAATCAAAGCTTTGACGTCATAGCTCGGTGCCTGAATCTCGTCATCTCGAAGACATTTGATGACAGCAAGCTTTACCGCCAGTCTGCCAATAAATTTTTCGTCAAAGACGCGAGGTCTCTACTCCGCTCAGGAGATGAATCGTCTCAATCTCTCGAGATCGTACGCGGCTATTATTACACTGTCAAACCCGGTACAGGATGCATCATTCTCAACTTCAATCTGGCAACTAGTGCGTTCTTCAAGCCCATTCTCGTCAGCAACTTTCTCCAAGATACCAAGACCTTTGGTGGTCACCAAGAAGACAACCTCAAAGGTCTCCGAGTGTTTGTCGTAACCGACAGACGCAGGATCCCAGGCGAAGAAGCAAACTATGATAAGCTAAATAGTGCCAGTAGCCGAACCAAGAAGGTCAACTTCATCGGCCCCGCCCTTAGCACTCTGACATTCCAGATGAGGGTGAAGAATACCGACGGAACATTTGCCAAGAATCTCGATGGATCTTACAGAAAGACGGGAAATCACATCAACGTCGTGGACTATCTTAGAAACACCTTCGGTCATACAGGCGACGCAACGTGGAAAGCTATCAACTGTGGTACTGAGAAGGAACCTGTATGGTATGCCCAGGAGCAACTCCAGATTCTTCCATGGCAGATCTACCGACGTCCGGTTCCAGAAAAGTTCACCAGTGGGATGGTCCAAGAGGCTGCAAAAAAGCCTGATGAGAGTCGAGCCCTCATCGAGAACGAAGGACTACGGAGCCTGGGATTCGATCAGCAAAGTATTACGAGCGCTCTATTCAGCAACGTTGTAAGTGTATGAAGTCTTGAGACATGAATGAGCTAACTCTATATAATAGGGAAACAGTAGCGAAGTACCGATTCAAATTGTTCCCACCATGATGCAAGTTCCCTGCCAAATACTCCGATACCCACTACCGTCTTACAAGACCGTCACAAACGATGCTATCAATCCCAGTGAACCTATACCAGTGACGCTCCCGGCGGCTGGTGGAGCTCGTTGGAAAGTTCCTCCCAATTCTGTCTTCTTTTCGACCAAGCCAAAAGCCTTCAAGTTTGGCTTCCTCCGCATCCGAAAGGATCCGTTACAAGATCGTCAGGACGAGTTCGGCAAGACGTATCAAGTTTACCCAAGAGAGCAACATAAATTCGCCGTGGACGATGATTCGGTTACAAAGTACTCCGATGAGATCGAACGACAGCTGAATCGGTGTGGACTCACTGCTACCGACATCGACCTTCAGCTTCCTACTGCTCTTCAAGACCTTGAAATCCGCGATCTAGAAGCTGCTCTGCAGACTGCCAAAGACGACGCTTACGATCTGGTCATCCTCATGTTACCGAAGCCGAACGTAGGCATATACTCACGATTCAAGACTTTAGCTGAGAGGGCATCCGGCCTCCAATCGGTCGTTGTTGTGAGCAAGTTTTCGGCCCCGGACAAAAACTACCTCCTTACAGAATGCATCACCAACATCATGATGAAGATTAACCTCAAGCTAGGCGGCTTCACACATTCGGTAAAGGACGTTCAGTCGTATCTGTCACAGCAGGATGTTATGGTGCTTGGTGCTGATGTAGTTCATGCGGGACCAAGTGCATTCGACGGCTGCCCATCTATCGCTTCGATAGTCGGATCTGTGGACTACTCAGCGGGTAGATGTCTTGGCTCTGCACGCCTGCAGCGTATCGAGAAGGAAGCGAAAGATGACAAAGGCAATGCGAAGCCTGAGCAGATAACGGATCGAGAGGTAAGGTTCATCTCCCGTCATTTTTGTCAAATCGCTAAACTAACCTCACAGATCATCCAAGAGGTCGAAGCCATGGTTACCGAGCGGCTCAAGGACTGGATACGCCACAGCGAAAAGAAGACCCTGCCCAAAAACATCCTGTACTACAGAGATGGTGTCAGTGCAACCCAGTACGAACAAGTCAAGTTGAAAGAACTGCAAGCTATCCGCGACGCTTACAGTGGGCTGGCGAACAAGCTCGGTACGACTTCCGAGGTGAGCCTGACTGCGGTAGTCGTCACGAAACGTCACCACACACGTTTCTACCCAATGTCACAGAAATTGCCAGACCCTAAGCCATGGGAGAAGAAGCCGACCTACTCGGATCGCGACACATTCGGCAACTGCAACACGAAGCCTGGTCTGTTTGTGGATCAACTCGTCACGTCTCCATACTACCAAGACTTCTTCCTGCAGTCTCATTCAGCTATAAAAGGAACGGCGAAGCCCACTCACTACTTCATCCTGGAGGCTGGAATCGAGGGCTTGGATCTGGAGAAGTTGCGCGATCTGGTAAGAATCCCCACGAGCCTGTTCTAACGAAGCATGGCTAAGTTGTTCTAGACTCATGCTATCTGTTTCTCCTACGTCCGCGGAACAGTCGGTGTATCCTACGCCTCGCCTACCTACTACGCCGATCGCCTATGCGAACGCAGCCGCACTTACATGCGTCGATACTTCGTCAAGACTGAAGACGTCGCAGGCCCAGGTAACCTGGAAGCAGCTCTCGCGTCGGAGAAGCACCGCCTTGAGCAACATTGTACGACATTGCTTGACTCACTCTACCCGAAGAACCGACAGTTCGCCGACAAGAAAGACGAAAAGAAGCACTTCAAGGACAGGAAAGCAACAGAGGCTGATCATCGAAGGGAGATCGTGCTGGGTCTGAGGAGGTTCGTGTTCGAGAAGGTCGAAGATGACTTCTACAAGTTCAAAGACCAGACTGTGGATGGGAAGCCGTGGCTCAATCCTTGGGATCCGTGTCTGAGGGACACGATGTTCTGGATGTGAGGGTTGGCGGTGGAATCGAATCGACACCTGGTGTGTGGGGGTGGGTGGTAGGTGTTGCGAGACTGCTGGTGTGTCTCTCATTTCCTTGTATCACATGTATTTGCTATCTGCGTTATGCCCTTTGTTAGCCTCCTCGCGGTCCTGGTTTTGCAGTTGGCCTTTTCTACTCGTTTTGTTTTCATTGTACTTGCTCTCGCAATAGACTAAAGCTTCTCTGATGTGTATACACCCGACCGACCTCCAATACTTTGCTCAATGTCTGGCCTCAATGCAGCTATCGTGTGAAAACTACATACGTGTGAAGCTATGCTGCTTGCTACGAATTAGCTTGATGTAAGCAGCAAGTAGGGTAACGCGTACCACAACTGTCAATGCGCAATGCTTGCTCCCCCTGGTAAGAACTGTCGTACCTGCACAGCTGGATTTGATTCATCCTATTGTAATGGATACATTTTAGCAAAGCTGGCTTGCTTGTGGAAAGCACGGTAAAGCGAAGCTGATGTAAGTTTGCGATATGTCAAGAGAAGGATATAAGACTCCCATAGACCCCGGTAATAAGTCCTTGCCTTCATCTTTCACCGCATCTAACCAGAGCTAAGCTCGAGGTACCTCTTCAGTCCAGTCTCAGCAACGATGGTTTGGTGTTTCAACTGCGCTGGCCCGCACTATCAGCAGAGCTGTGAGCTACTTTGTGTAGGCTGCCCTAACTCTGCTCACGCAGGAAAAGACTGCGCTAATTGCCCTGTACGACGAGGAAGCAACTTCCGCGGTGGTAATGGCGGTTCTTTTAGCCAAAGAGGTGGACGCTCTACCGCTCCAAACGGCCATTACGGAACTTGGAATAGTGGTGATTGCCCTGTCTATCCAACGATGGCATACACACCAAACCTCAATATGAATCAGCCAGGCCTATACTCGTATGCCACTAGTTCTGTCCAGGATACCAGCGGAATCTACTATCAAAACAACGCCCCGGGGTACCCATTCTTTCCTGAAACGGTTCCCCATCCTAACACCAACGGGCAGCCCATGTCACCCTTCAGAGGAGCAGCCAGGTCAGAACAGCAAAGTAAGTCAGCCCGACACAATCAAATCTCATCCACTAATCCCACAGCTCCATGGGACGTCCTTCAACAACGCCTATATGCAAACCGATGCCATTTCCCCTGTAGCTGGTGCGGAGATTACTATCACTGCTTGCTTGACTGCACTGGTCAGCTAACTAAATGGCGCGCTCCTTTGCGTACTTGGATAGTTCAAAGCGGCTACGAGAGCCAAGCAGCCTTCTTCGTCGCGGGTTTGCAGGAACGGCATAGACCGGACGAGGTTGCGCCTTTCATGACCGCACGGCGCAGACCTTGTTATAGCCGGACGGAGAATCCTAACTCGATGGGAGGTGCGGAAGCACAAGGGCAAGGGCGAGGAGAAGGACGAGGAGGCGGAGATGAAGTTTCGGGCACCTTGGGTCGTCAGGTTGGAAATCGTCAGGATGGACATCATCAGCCTGGTGAAGACCAGCCGGCTCCTCCGACATTGCCCTCGACGCAGACTGCTTTCGACGAACAGCACTCACCCCAGCACCAAAACGATCAGTCAAATATTGATATGCTGGGGGGCGTAACGTTGACGTAGGCCTCCCATGGTGTCTTGAAGGGACTTCTCAATCATGCCGCGAGCTGAGCCGCTCAAGTCTTGTGCATACTTAAAGAGGAGAAGAGCATTGCCGAGAACACGAACTGGATTAGACCTCACGGCTGCATCTAATTCCATCCTCATCATGATTCACAAGCTCTTCCCAGGCAATAATCAACCACTCTTGCATCTGGAAGCGCCACTTGAGTCCATCCAGCATAAGAAGAAGGTGGTGCATCCGCTCTGTGATACTCTTTTTAGGCAATCCTGTAACTTGGCTCAATCCTTGGGATGGCTCTTTCTGCTCTTTTCCCTTGTATGAGGTGGTAGAAAACGTATTGGCCACGAATTGACACTGATGTGCTTCGCCGTGTACAGATGCAGTTCTGACCTGTGTAGTTCCCATTCTACACCAGGAGAATACATTGAGCGAGATGCCATATTGGCCAAGAAGGGTGGTGCTTGCGAGTGGGTGCCTTAGGACGATAGCCTATGTTGTAGGCGCTGACATTGTAGTAGAGCTGTGGGCGCAGTCATGCTCTCCGGGTTGCACGGTTGTCTCTGAACATAGCCAGTCAAAGATGGCGGCAGGGCGGGATCGATATCGCATCGGACACTACCTCTTTCGGGTTATTACCGTGGGCGACAAGATCTAGACCTGAGTACGCTGCAGGCCTTGTACTTCTACTCCAGGTCAATCGCGCGAACAACACACAGTATTGAAAAGACGAGAGTGTACAATGAGGTTCCCCAAAACGATGCTGCCTTGTCGTGATGATGGAGACGGTGGTGCTGCGCCTCGCACGGGACTGCACGCTACGCCGGGGCGATCGTCACTAGCGATGACTAAGGGCGTGCCTTGCCCGTTCTCGTGCGATTGGTGACGTGCGTCTTCGCGGCTCAGAGCTCGCTGATTCAACAGGGTCCCTTCATTTAATTTCCCTCGCAGCCCACATCAAAACAAGGCCACGGCAAGGTTCAATTAATCGATTTTGAGCACTGCCAGTCCCAGCGACCCAGCATCCGCTGTTCATTTCACCAAGACTAGTCTTGTTGTGCGGAAGAATTGCTGGACTAAACGCCGCGCGCTCACGTCCGTCGGTCAGCGCAAGATTCCGTAGCTTCCGCGGCTCATCTCAAGCTCCACTGCGGCATTCCGAAACCATCGCTCCAACGCTGCCAATCCATCCCAGCCAACACCAAACATGTCGCAAAACTATCAGCAATACGGCGGCAACCCGTATGGCCAGGCCGAGGCTGGATACGGCGCGCAATCAAACCCATATGGCGGCACCGGCTATGGCTCAGCCAACCCCTATGACGGAGGAGTAAGCAGTCGCGACCGCGCCGCCTGAACTCAAAGACTGACGCGACGAAACAGTATGACGGCCAGGCCCAGCAGCTCAGCCCGCCAGCGCCCCTCCAACGTCATGGCGACTCCAACTATTCGCAGCCATCGCAATATTCGCAACCCGGCGCAAACCAGCAACCACCCAACGTACCGCATACCGACGTGCCGATGAACAACATGCCTGCGTACGGCGAGCCGACCGGAGCCACCGGTATGGAGGCGCCAGGACCGCAGCCCCTCAGCCGCGACGACTTCTTCGCGCGCATCGAAGGCGCAAAGTCGCGCATCGGCCAGCTCACTTCCGACATCCAAGCCATTGCAAGCGTCCACCAGCGCATGCTATCGTCGCCCGACAACCGCTCCACCGCCGAGCTCGAGAGCATCGTAACCGCCACGCAGATCAGGAACACCCAAATCAAGGATGAGATCAAGTTCCTGGAGAGGGACGCCGTGCGCGACCCCAACGACCGGACGAAGAGGACGCAGGTGGAGGCGCTGAAGAGGACGTTCAAGACACAGCTAGAGGACTTCCAGAGGGAGGAGGCAGACTACTCCAAGAGGTATCGCGAGGCTGTCGGGCGCCAGTACCGCATCATCAACCCGGATGCGACGGATGCCGAGGTCAACGAGATTGCCAACTCGGATCTGGGTGACGAGGGCATCTTCACACAAGCTGTAAGCTGACACAAATCGCACGAAACAAGACCTACGTCACTAACAACCCGCAGCTCAAGTCCAACCGTAGCGGCCAAGCCTCGAGCGTCCTTGGCGCCGTCCGCGCCCGCCACAACGACATCCAGCGCATCGAGAAGACCATGGGCGAGCTTGCCCTCCTCTTCACCCAGCTCAACGAGCAGGTCGTCTACCAAGAACCCATCATTCAGCGGACCGAGGAGCAAACCGTACAAGTCAAGGACGATACCGAGAACGCGAACAAGCAGCTGGACGAAGGCATCAAGTCGGCCAGGCGCGCGCGTAGGCTCAAGTGGTGGATCCTCTTGACTGTCATCCTGATTCTGGCCGTTATCGCGCTGGCACTTGGACTATACTTTGGATTGAAGAAGGACAAATAGAGGATGTAATGACCATGTGGCGGTGTGAAAAGAGGAGGATGCGATATCATGTTGGGACTATGTTTCTGTATAGGGAAGTAAATGACTTCTCGTTGTTTTCTTATTATTAGTAATGATCCGGGCTGCACTCCGCAGTGACGAATGTGTATACAAAGGAGGTTTCTTGGTTGTATCTGAAGGTACGCGCGTGGTTCTATCGAGATGTAAACACAATGCAAGATAAAGTCTACTTTTAGAACACCCGTTCGTGAGGTACGAGGCGGTTCCAGAAACACGAGCGCCTTTGCGAACGGAAGTCGGCAAGGAATAGTTCTTAGCGCTGGTGGTATGATGGCAAAAAGCCCGTAAAACAAAGACTACGTTCCCAACATGAAAGTCTCGACCGCTACTGGGATTCTGGACCGGCTGGCGCAGGTATAATCGATAGAGCTGCGGCAAGGCAGCGGGGGATCCGTTTGGGGAGAGGGCGTGCTCTTGAACTCGATCCCAGATGTGCTGGCTGGACATGTTGTGTTGAGAAGGCTGGCCAGGGCTCTAATAATACGATGGCGAACTAGCCTGCCGGAAACCTGCCTTCCAGCATTTGAGATACGAAGGCTGATGATTAGCCGATGAAATGCCTCACCAGAATCCAAGGCTCGTGATGTCAAAACAGTGCCAGGCGCGGACCGACTACCTCGTTTCACAGGACAGCGTAGGCAGTATCGCCGTTTCGGAAGCGACCAGCGACCAGCCAGCCATGCGATCCATGGATGCAACAGCAGCCCACGATGCCTCCACATGACGTCGTCTATCCAATCTTAGCCGTGGGCCGTCATTTCGGCATCACGCCTGCGCGACATGGGCAGCGGCATGCGTTGAGACGTTTGATACCGATCGCCAGCGTCTGCGCAGCAGAAAACAGTGAATGATTGACGGCGGACGCGTGTTTCAGCGCGCTTCACTGCCGTCGGTCCAAGCATGATCGCCACGGCGAGCCAGTCTGCTTAGCTAGGCTTGACGGTGGGCTCATGCGCGTTGGCGGCTGCTTGGAGGTGGGCTTGGTGCGGCTTGTTCAGGGGTTGGCGCTGCTTGCATGCTTGTCTCCCAGCCAGGACCGATCCCCACCGGGGTTGCAGCCTATCACAGGCGGAAGGCGCAGTCCACTAGGGAATTGGACGCGTCGCCTCCCTCGCAGTCGACTGCTTAACCTGCTGCGCTCCCCGTTGAATCCTTCCTTCTTCAATCTCACGACTCCAAGTGCTTCTTGCTACTTACACCTTTATTCTAATCGCAACTTCTAACACTCGTTTCACGGGAGTTGCTCTTTACTTCGGATTTATAAGTATTTTACTTGTTTACTTCGGCCTCGCAGTCGCTATAACAATCGCTCAACTGTAATTATCATCAACACCCACACGACCATCATGAAGACCTTTGCCATCGCCGCCGTCCTTGCGGCCTCCGCTGCTGCAACCCCCGCGGCCACCCAGAAGCGGGCCAACATCACCCCCGTCACTGTCAAGGGAAATGGTACGTAAACTCATCATCAGAAATACAAGTCTGTACTAACATCTACAGCTTTCTTTGCTGGCAACGAGCGTTTCTACATCCGCGGTGTCGACTACCAGCCCGGTGGCGCCTCCGATGCAAAGGACCCCATCGCCGACGAGGCTGGCTGCAAGCGCGACATTGAGAAGTTCAAGGAGCTCGGTATCAACACCGTCCGCATCTACACTGTCGACAACAGCGCCAACCACGACGCCTGCATGGGTCTCCTCGCCGATGCCGGTATCTACCTTGCCCTCGACCTCAACACCCCCAAGTACTCTATCAACCGCGCCGAGCCCCAGAAGTCGTACAACAAGGTCTACCTCCAGAGCATCTTCGCTACCGTCGAGATGTTCGCAAAGTACGACAACACACTGTTGTTCTTCTCCGCCAACGAGGTCATCAACGACGACAAGACCACCAACTGCGCTCCCTACGTCAAGGCCGTCACCCGTGACATCAAGTCTTACATGAACGCCCGCGGTCTCCGCAAGATCCCTGTTGGTTACTCCGCCGCTGACGTCGAGAGCAACCGCTACGAGATGGCCGACTACATGAACTGCGGTGACGATGCCGCCCGCAGCGACTTCTTCGGTTTCAACGACTACTCCTGGTGCGACCCGTCCTCCTACACCACCTCTGGTTGGGACCAGAAGGTCAAGAAGTTTGCCAACTACAGCATCCCCATTTTGTAAGTCGCTCAACTATACTCTTCACAGCCATCCGCTAACATACCCAGCCTCTCCGAGTACGGTTGCAACAAGGGAACCCGAAAGTTCGAGGAGGTCAAGTCGCTCTACAGCACCGACATGACCGGCGTGTACTCCGGTGGTCTCGTCTACGAATACTCCCAGGAAGACTCCAACTACGGTCTCGTCGAGATCAACGGCGACTCCGTCAAGGAGCTCGCTGACTTCACCGCCCTCAAGGACGCTTTCTCCGCCACCAAGAACCCCAGCGGCGACGGTGGCTACAAGAAGGACGGCCAGCCCGCCACCTGCCCCGACCAGTCCAAGACCTGGGACGTCACCATGAAGAGCGACGAGCTTCCCGCTGTCCCCTCCGGTGCCCTCGACCTCATGAAGAAGGGTGCTGGTGACGGCCCTGGTCTCTCCGGCTCTGGCTCCCAGCAGGCTGGTTCTTCCGACGAGAACCTCGCTCCTGCCGGCTCCGGCGCTGTCACCTCCGGTGGCAAGGTCCCCACTGCTACCGGTGGCAGCAGCCCCTCCGGCTCCGAGGGTGCCGCCGCTTCCATCCGCCCCGAGTTCAGCTTCGCTCCCCTCGTCTGCGGTGCCGTTGTCCTCGCCTCTTCGCTCTTCGGCGGTGCTCTCATCTTGTAAGAGTCTGCCAGTAGAGCTGCGTGTGTTTCTTCGATGTAATGCAACGACCCAGCGCGGGCAACGTTATTGGAATAGATTTGGTTCTTCCTTTCCAAGTAGCATTGGCTTTGAAACGCTTTTGTGATGGGAGTTGGTTGACTTTGTTGTCGGCCTGGCGTCTCATGTTTTTTTCTTGTTGTTCTCTTTGTTCGAAGTATCTCAGTATATATCAGGAAATACAAACACATCGAAAAAACTACGTTGTTTTGTTGTGAGTGTGGTTGAGACGGTTATCCGCTTGGTGTTGTGATGTTGATCTACGAGCTATGGGGCGATATCGACTGGCGCTCTGACCTGTTGGTCTGCATATAAAGTTCCTCTGACTGCCACTTCTCTTCCTTTCTTCATCCACGAGCTCACCTCGCTTTTCCAAATGCCCGCACCTGGAGTGCCATGTTTCCGCTTTTGTCCTAAAAACGACAAGGTGCGACTCATGTGTGCCTCTTTCTTCTGGGTTACCATTACCAAAACATATCTGCTACCCGCCCTCATAACATGCCGGTTCAAATCGCAGCATGGAAGTGCTATGATTCCGTGCCGTCGTCGCGCGTACCGAAAAAAATCCGGTGATGATATAACCACATGGCTCTGCGTCTTCTCCAAATATCTACTCCAAACATTTCATGACTGTGCGGTGCGTTTCCAAACACCAAAGCATGGACAAAATGTCTTTCTCCGTCGGACTCTGCGGACTTGATCAAAACACCGTGCGGTGCGAGAAGACTGAGAGATGAGGTATAAAAGTCACCTTTCTCCCGCCGGAGTTGTTGTCTTCTTATCTACACAACTCCATTCGTTTTTACCAAAAGTCGACGCGGACCTTCCGATGGGTGTCTGTCTCCTTCCGAAAACCTAAAAACCGCTTCTACTATGAGCGTGTCTCCTTTCCAAAACACAGAACAGAAAATTCATGTGCGGTGGGAGGCAGCAAGACTTCATCCCATGCTTTCGAGGCGATCAAGCCGTATAAATACCTGGCTTTCTGGACTTGTTCTCTTGTACACCACTCTACTTGTTTATTTACCAAAAACGAGAGGGTTAGGGACCATGGGTCTGCTCTGCTCTTTCTTCCAAAAACTGAATGTCAACTTCCTATGACTTTTCTGCTCCGGCACTCAAAACAGTGCATTAGCCTTAGAATGCGCGGGCTGCTGCTTTGCTCCGAGTTTCAAAATCCCACGTCCGCAATGCCATGTTCTGAGACTGGGTTGAGCAGCTACATGGGCTTGCTCGAAGATGTCGAAAAGAATATAGAGAAGAGCTATGCGGCATCGTTGTGCTGCGAAGCAAGCCCGGAAATGAACACCAGCAAAAACTATGTGTCTGGCGACGCGCTCGCGGTGCATCAGCAGGCACACGACTGAGAGTGTATAACGCCTCCTACTTGGTTTCTCCCTTTCTACTTCTCTGTCGCACAGCCTGCTCCTATTCTCAAAAAGCCACATCGGAAGCTACCGATGTGTCTGTTCTCTGAAAAGTGGAGGCTGACCTAAGAATGAGCAACGAGACTGCTTTCCTCCAAAACCAGCAGCTCGTCGACCTGATGTCTTCGTCTCGCGTCCTAGCTACACAATAGAAGCACACTTATCAAGCGCTATGTAACTAGAACACTGGTTATACGGTTACATGCTTTTCTGGACACCTCGCGGGGGTAGTCATATATAAAACGCCTTCTTCCCGGTTTCCTACTTCTATCATTCCACTCTCTACTTATCCAAAAGAGTGTTTATCCAACAGTCTGGTTCAAAAAGCCATGTGGGCTTGCCCTGCTCTTCTCCAAAATCTATCAACGAAGCGTATATGGTTGTCTCTGCCTCAAGAACCAAAAAAAAAGATTCTTCATAGTCTACATGGACTTTCTCCTCTGCACTGGCATTACTAAAAGCCGAGTGCAGATACTTCATGTCGCAGAAATTGCCGACTGTTGTTTTGGATGAGTGGCGCGCTGCCTGCAAAATGTTCTCCTCAGTACCTTACGGTTTTCCTGGATCAAAGCCTCTGGTCTACTATATAAGCGCTGTGCTGTCCTTTACTCCTTCTTCAACACTTCCCACAGTTTGGACCGAAAAGCTCTGGAAAAAGAGGTTATGGCTGCTTCTCCACTCTCAAAATCCTCTTCTAGTATACATATGGCTCTGGGGCTTCTGGCACCGAAATCCGATATGATGAATGTGATGTTCTGTCCCGTCTTCTGGTGCGACTTACTTAAGCCCGTTATTGCTGCAACTATGTTTCCACACGTCGCTACATTAAACAATCAGTTCCACTCCTCCCTCTTCCGAAAAGTGCTACCGAAAAGGACAATGTCTCTTCTCGCCTTCGGAGCTAGCTACAAAAAGCCTATCCATCGGACACTATGTGTTGTACGCGAAATAAATACGGCCTACACTAGACACGTGTGTTCCTCCCGTTGCGCCGCTATCAGACAACAGGATATTTAAGACGTCCACAATCGACTCTCTCTAAACCTTTCTATTCCACACTTTCTACCACCATTTACCAAAAACGAATTAATCAATACTTATGACTTGCTTCGCCGCAGAGATCGAAATCACCCTTGTCTGAATTCATGTCCGTTGCGCCACTCGGTACTCTCTCGTCTATAAAGTCCAAGGACTGCGAACTCTTACTTCTTTCCACCTTTGTGTGACTACTTTTCGAAAATAGACACCATCAAGCAGTCATGTTCCAAAACTACGAAAACGGCGCCTATGTCCTGGCTCTTCCGAGCTTCTACAACTTTCCAATATGAAACATGTACCTTTCTTGCCAACCCTACCCAAAAAAAAACAAGTTAAGCACCTTTTTATGTCTTTCCGTTATACTAGAAAACAGCAAGCCTTTCTGTCATGTTGTGGGCCTGCCGAAACGTGCGTGGCTTTACGCAATGGTTGGTTTCTGCCGAGTTGGCGAAGTCGAAATTTCTCAAAATTTGAATTGCAATTTCGATGAGTACCGAGGCTTGCTGGCTGCTGTATAAAATATAAGCTTGAAGCTGGATGTTTCTCTATCCTCTCTTAATTCACAATACCAACAAAAAGAAGGACTTCAGTGTCGATGAGTATGGCGTCGAAATCAAAACTATGTGTGTCCATTCAATGTCTGCTTTGTTGCTCAGATTGAAAACTACACTGAGTGGCCTTATGTTGTTGCCTCCTCTAAACCACTGAAAAGACAAAACATACTCTGAATGAGAGTACTGAACTCCGCCACGAGGATGAACAGCTCCCCGCTCCCTTCACCAAAAGTTCGTCGAAACTTTCCCATGGCGGAAGCAACTGTATGACACCGCTTCGGTCGTGAATTCCGCCTTCTGGGCCGCTGATGTACGCTCCGTCACGATGCGTCATGTGTATGTCTCACGGTCCGACGCTTGACCGAAGAGTTTGAGGAGTAAAAAAGACCACAAAGCGAATGTTAAAATCAGTTATGCAGACTCAGTTCCCTTCATCCTCAAGCCTTCTAAAAGTCAAATCGCAAATATGATGTCGCTTCCTTTCCTGGGCACCAAAAAACGGCTATAGTGGCTCTCATGGAGTCAGAAAGATCGGTTAGCTGCGGATAGTGTCGACGGCCCGTCTCATAACTTTTCAAGGCTGCCTCTTTGGGAAGGGTCCTCCAATACATGTGATGATTCGTCATCTATACTATGAACATACATGCCAATAACTGCCGACCTTCTGAAAATCATTTACCTCAAACGCGACAGCCCACCGCTCATCGCCCATCATCCATTTACTCAACAACCCCAACAACCTTAACCTCATCCGCCCTCCACTTCCTCATAGGCACCTTCCCCAACTCCCCTCTCAACCTCTCCCGATCCCCCCAAACCTCCTCCCCAACCTCTTCCCTGCTCACCCAAGCCCAATCCCCTTTCAGCACACCAACCCCATACCTCCCATCCTCCTCTCCCACCTTCAACAACCTCGTATCCGACCCCCAAATCCCCGCTTCTTCCGGATCAGAAATCAGTGTGTAACTCCTCTCATGCACAGTCTCGCTGTTCTCAAAAACGAGGACTTCAGTCTCGTTGGGTGGGAAAGGGTCGGTTTCGCCCTCTACGTCTGCGTCGGGAGGGCTGTAGCCTTTCATTGGGCCTCGCTTCTTTCCGGTTTTGAGGTCCCGGAGTTCGACGCTGGCTTTGTTGCGGCCGTGGGGGATGGAGCGTAGGACTGCGATGCCTTTTGTGTTGGCTATGTCGGAGCGCGTGGTATCTAGGCGCCAGGCGAGTGTGATGGTGCATGGTGGGTTGCCTGAGATGGATATCGTGTCGGTTGAAGTAAGAATAGTTGGACGGATAGGCGGGGGCTTGGGCACTGTGGCAAGGGCTTTGAAGGTGTAGCTAGGTAGCGGTGGAGATGGTTGTGGTATGTCTTCTGTTTCCGGCTCGGGTAAATTGGATGGGTCATGATGCTCACCAGCGTACCATGTCGTTATGCCGTGAGACCGGAGACGAATGGTATACGTTTTCCCCGCTACGAGCGATGACGGATCGAAAGTATAGGGCATGGGATTCGAAACTGTAGTGCCTGGACGAGTCGACCACATGGTATAGCTGTCGAGCTTTTCGGGGTCTAGTACAAGAAGGCGTCGTTCAATGTCTTGAGTAGCAGTGCTGGAAGGTACGTAGCCCACACTTTCACCCGTCTCTGCATCGACGATTTCGAACAGGCCTTTTGCAAAGGTTGCCTCCGGATCAAAGATCGTGTTTTTGGTGTCGATGGTGAGTTTTGAGTGGTAGTCGACATTGCGTACAAGGCTGATGTCGAACGTATCGCTGCAGTCAATGTAGCAGAATGCACTGGTGTAGAGAGTGAAAGATATCGAAGGAGCCATAACGATAATCGCGTTACCAGATCTCTGCTATCAACTTCCTCGGTTTTTTGATGCAGTCGTGACGAATATAAGCAACGATGTGTCGGTGGTTTTGCCTTCCCAGGCACCCATGGTGATGTGACGTCAACGGCGCTAGTCTCTGGTCGGGTGTCACCAAAACGCCCCAGACCTTGTTCTCGTTCGTCGCATTGAACATGCGCAGTAATTCTTCCCATTCCGCCCCCCAATGAAACATTTACGAGGGCGCAAGGCGAAATGGGGATGCTTACGGGGCGAAGTGACGACATAGCCATCGTGGAGTATCACCTCCCGAGGTCTCTACGCGCCATACCGTAATCATGGCTGTACGTAGTCAAAGGATCCGGGCCGCCTGTTTTCTGAAGAGTTCGTTGGACCGATTACTAAGGCTACATGGTGATGTAGAAAGTAAGCGGCCCCAGAACAAAACCACCGTGTTGTACAATGGGGGCGATAGCTCCTTGATTCTGCCTTGGACACCATGTTCTATTACGATCGAACTGAAACAATGACGACTTTCTGTACCTAGATGCCGAGCGACTGCTGCGGGGTCAAGTTCTAAGACGATCTGTGCGGATTCCAAACCATAGCCACTTGGCCCCAAGAGAGGCATCAGGCAGATTGAAATGACGTTGTATCCTCTCTGTTCCCTCGTTTCGGTCGATCATCTTGTCCAGTCCCACGGCAAATGTCTCGAACAATCGTCATTCCCATGTTTTGTTTTGAGAGAAGTCGTTCAAGACACTCTCGAGATCCTTCTACATGTTCGGAAACTCCGAGGGCCCCAGAGGGCCCCAAAGTTCTGAGGCAAGGCAGTGTTATTCCGTGGATTCAGGCGTACTCTGGTCTCTATGGAGGTTGTATGTTGTTGATGTACGCCATCTGACGGAGTCGAAACAGCCCCAATGGATGTGTATAAAGCACTGACATTCTGGACACTGGACTCTTGATCATACCACAGACCGACTTCTACCCAGCTTGAATAGATCCTGACATCACGAAAATGTACCGCAATCTGAGCATCCTTGCCGTGGCACTCTCAATCAATGGACTTACCTCCGCTAAGCCCATCAATGGGTCAGTCACACCTCTTTCACATCTGTCGATCATGCAGAACTGACCTTTCGTAGAAAAATCCACGCTGTGAAGCGGGCAGATCCAGTGTCTTACCCATACGGCGATGCACTCCCCAACGAATTTCAGTGGCTTGGCTGGGATGCCAACGATGAAGATCAAAAGAAAGACGGGCAAAAGATACACGAAGCGTTCAAGCAATGGGTACGTAATCTGTCATACGAAGAGCGACCTCCGTTTCCTCTTTCAACTTTCCTCTATTTCACAATGAGCGCATGGCTGAGAACACTTCGACAATTTAGGCAGACTTAGCCAAAGCAGGTATTACGGCTGCCGGAGGCGCTCCCGACAACGTGCACTTCAAACGTTTCTTCGGCAAGCAAGATGCAGACGACACAGAAGCCATTCAAAAGACCATGGCAAATATGTACGACACCACAGCAGACTCGGCTACAGAAACCATTAAGAAAATGGTCCTTGAGCGTTCTGACTTCGGCGACCATTGTGAGAAAGACGGTTGGTTCGCGTATACAACTCCCACGGATGGACACTTCCACCTGTGTCCCAAAGCAATTGCCCTGAAGCAGAACTCGGAGACCGAATGTGCGGATTTCAAGCGAGACTACATCGACAATACGGCGAGGACGCTGTCTTTTGTCATGCTACACGAGTTCACGCACTACGACTTTGTGGCCGACGACAGGATCGGTGGTATCATTGATAACGCCATAACTTCTGTCAATTGCTTCAACCTTGATGATGACGAAAAGCTCAACAATGCTCAGAGCTACGCGTTCAACGGCGCAGTAAGTTTTCGACATTCATTTATGTATACAGCACAAACTAAGAAGATATTTACAGGAGCAATACTGGTCCGACAAATGTCCAGACAAAGACTTTACCGACCCTGGTGTTAAACGTCCGGATGAAACTCCTACGCCGACTCCCACGCCCACACCAACGCCAACCCCCGAACCCGTAGCCCCCTACGCCGACCAACCAGGCCAATGCCACATCCACGTCAACGAATACGAAACCTGCGACTCGCACGACGAAAACCTCAGCGTCGAAATCACCATGTGGGACGTTTCCGGCGCCCAAATCGGCTACGTCGACCGAACCGTCGCCGGAGCCGGAAACCCACTCATGATGAAGAGCAAGCTAGAAAACACGCTCGAGGTAACGCCAGAGAACCAGAAGGATTACATCCAATTCACGTTAGGCGGGCAGTCGTGGGCGACGAACAAGGACAACGATGAGAGTGCGCCGGCGTATTGTAAGGTTGGGGGCTGGGACCCAAGGGCTGGGCCATTGTGTAATGAGTTTGATAGTGGTACGGCTCAGGAGTCTAAGAGGCAGATGGATTGTTACTTTCAGTGTGCTTGGGGTGGTGGGGCGACGTCTGATGGGTCGTAAGGCCTTTTTAGGAAGGGCAAGATGTACTAGATGTTTGCGTAGAGACGGATAGCGAATTTGCTTAAGAGGTGGGAAATGGACACTCTTTTTGTACGGCGTAGAGAACGATTTCGGTCAGTAAGAGCACAAAATCATGGAGTAATGGAATGTACAATATACCCTCGATTTCTCACACGTCTCACGTAACACATCTCATCCCATCATCACCACCCGATCTATCGACTACGCATACAAAAGCAGACGAAAACGCTCGAAAAACACAAGAACAAACAAACAGGGGTATCTCAAGGCTCAGACGATATGCAACAAGGACGTTAGAACGCGTCGCTCCCACCGACCGTAACGCCTTGTGTCAGTCAGGGTCGTCTTCTCACGAGCCGGTGAAGAGATGCCAGACAGCTGTAAAAACAGGTAGCAAACTCCACAAAACGCCTCAAATGCCGCATGTAGAACAAATAAAAAGAAAATCAGTTCGTAATCAGCCACCTGGCATGTTGAGTGCCATCAAGTAGCAGGCCTAGAGGTGGGGGCTGTTAGCGGGGACGCCTTACGAAGGCGATGCAGGCAGCTCAAAGCTCCATCCTCTCAATGATGCCCTCGCTCATCGTCCGTATCTTACTCACGGCCCTCTCTCGGTCTACCAGTGACTCAACGTCGCTGTCGTCATCGCTCTCGTAGTACTCGGCGTCCATGCTCATGTCTCTGGCTGGCAGGTACCGCTGTTGTTCTGCATCGACGACATCGCCGGGGTGGTCAATGACCATGTTGTCGAGCTCATCACTGTCTCCATATGCCTCAAGCCCCTTCCTAGCACGATCGCCGAGCCAGTATTCCGCGCGCTTCCTACTGCCCGCATTCGCACTGGACTCGTACTTCGATGCTTTGAACTTGGACATTAGTGACATGGCCACGCTGGGTGAATTCGACAGAGCCGATATTCCGCGGAGATAGAAGTATGCAACTCGCTTGCGCTCCTTGTTGTACAGGAAGAAGTGGTGACTCCAAATCGCACCGTCATCAGCGAAGGGGTCATCTGACGGCTCCCATGCATAGTATTCACAGCTCGACATGTCCATCTCCGTATCGAGCAGGTGCCAACTTCGCGGACTCCATATCGGCGACCCAAGCGGTGTGACTGCGCCTGCTGGTAGTCCGGCGGAGTACACTTGCGGGCGAAGATAGTACATTGTAGTGTCGATCTTGTGCATGAAGCTGTGGATGGTCTCGCGACGGAACTCATCAGGGTTCAGCGTGTTCGCGAAGTCGTAATCGATGTGTGTGGCATTGAGCGTCGCGATGAGGTATGCGAAGGTGTGACGGTTTGCTGCTTCGCTGAAGGATCCGAACGGCGTGTCTCGGGAGATGTCGAGTTGGTCTGCGAACTGAGCTGCAGACTGCTCGGACAGCCCCGCAACCGCTGATAGCAGGTCCTTGTGCCGCTCCTCGAGCGTCCTCTCGATGCGCTTGTACAACTTCTTGTCGCTTCCCGCTGCTTTAATCGTCCAGAGATCGCATCCGCCGATGATTGCCGTGTCTTGCGTGTCGAAGTTGAGGGCGAGGTTGACCTCGTGGAGGGCGCACAAATCGAGGTACTACGGTGCCACCGGGTCAGCTATGTCGTCACTCTGGCCTTATCGCATCGAGCACTTACCTTCATTGCGCTTGATGTGGACTGGCTTGGGCTGAGTGCCTATTATAGAATATATCGCGTGTGGTTCGAAATCTTCGAGATACGGTGTGATTCAGCGCGCCGTGGCTGCTGGGCGTGGGTGTGGCTGTGGTCGGGAGGGGGTAGCCTGCGCGAACCGATACAACAAGTAAACACGACTCTAGGCTGGCTGCGGAGAGGAGAGGGTACTGTCGTTCGGCCAGACGATCGTCTAGCAGGCAGTGGACATATGTATGGCTTGGGCGTGGTAGTGGTGTGAGATGTCGGTGTCGCTGTAACGACGTGGTCGCGATTGCGGAGAAGGTCAGCTTGGCGGTGTCGCCGAGCTAACAGCGGCATGTGTGTCGGGTCGTCCTTCCTGATTGGTCGATGCGCAACCTGCCTCTCAACCAACAACAGCTGCCGATAAGAGTGGATGGGTAGGTGACTGGTGTTGAGTGTTGATGTTAGTTGTACGCGGCCATGCCGAGTGTGTCTGGTACGCGGGGCATGTCATCTGATGGTCGAGCACGTGAAGGATAGAAGATGCCTGGAAATGAATCCACGTGAATTCGGCAACGTATCATTTGATGAATGCATGTCAAGGTTCTGGGTGAAGGACCAAACGCTGATCCGAACCAATTGCTGTCACGAAGTGCAGGTGCGCAGTGTCTCGGCGGTGTGGAGACCTGTAGCTAGATGAATAAGGTAAGTGTACCAGCATGAGGAAAAAGAAAAACGGAAGAGAGAGTTGTCAAGTCTATCAGGGTGAAGTCTCGATATCATGATGTGTGATCACGTTCGAGCCCTTGAACCGCTTGTGTCAAACCTAGCTGTGTCGAGCAAGCCCGCCAGTCCGAGGTGTATGAATTGTAGTAGATAGAGTACAGCTACCGCCATCCGCTCTACAAGGCAGGATGGCAGGTAGTGCGTTCTCCAGATGATCCAACCCCTGCGCCGTGTGATATCGTTTCGCTCTTGACGCCTGCCCTTGGAAAGATGTTTAGCATGAGCCGTGTTGTGACAGTCGACTGTGTGCCGTAGCCCTACCCCAAACTCCAATAACGCCGTACAATGTGTGTTCGTATGTGGATGTCGGATCGGGTCTACAAGATGCCGCTCTCTCGAAGTCGGCCTTTGAATTCATCCGCGTTCTGGAAGCCATCAGGCGCGGTCAGTGGGGACTCTTGGGACGGCGGTGACGGAGGGCCAGAAGGTGAGGTGCGACAGTGCGTTCCGTACACTTTTACATAATCTTGGTAACGATATCGTCCTCAGCCTGACGACAGGGCGCGTCAGCCAGCTGGCGCTATGGGTGCGTGCGGCGAAACAGACCCGAAAGTCATCACACCTCACTCACCTCCATATCTTCGAGGCTGTCCTGTTGTCCTATACACCGGAGCACGTTCTTTTTGCTGCTCTCTTGCATCTCACCGGCAAGCAGTAGCTCGTCCAGGATGAAGTAGGCCTTTTGGAAGTTGAAGATGATGTCGAGCTCGCAAACGTTGCCGTAGTACTTGTCCATCTGCTCGACGTAGCGGTGGACGATTTCGAGCGTGATCAGCTCATTGTCGGTCGAGTCGCAGCCGGCGATGAAGAAGAGCGACGCATATCTGCGATATACGATCTTGGTGTCTGGAGAAAGTGTGAGCTAGCGAAGCTCTTACCCCTGCCGGACCCACTGACCTTTGTACTCTAGGAAGTTGCACATGCGGGTGCGGCGGGCGAGGACGAGTTGCGAGACGTCTTTGACAATCTTGGCCTTGTCTTTGGGGGCGAGGGTGGTGAACCACTTGGCTAGGCGCTGCGAGCTTCAGCAAGGGACTAAGGATTTAGGGTGAGGAACCAACCACTTTGCCCTGCCGGGACAGCAGAATGAGGTACCTGAGTTATTAGTGACTGCACTCTGTGTAGGTAATATGTCAAGGGTCGTCTTACTTGATCGTCATGGTGTCGTGTGAGGAGAAGATGGCAGTAGCTTGTGTCTGGCGCAATGGGGAAAGATGTTAGGTTCGGCGATCGGCGGTCACAGGCCAGCCCCGCGACTTTGAGACGCCAATGCGCCCTCATATCCCCGCTATCACCATCTCAGTCTGAACAGTGGACATTTGCGCGCAAGCAATTCTGCTCTTAGCCCATTCCTACTAATCATTGCCTAAAGCCTTGCGATTCAAAATATCTGCGCTACTGCACATCCGACGCGACTGCTATCCTAAGACGACCCACCCGCTGACAAACGTTCACCCTTCATCGGCAACTCGAGAACCCCCGAAGAGTCACCACCACACAATATAGGAGGCTCTTTCGTCAGAACTGTTCTATCTCGCGTCATAATTGCGCAATAACACTGATCGCCATCATGAAGCTCGTACTATCTACCTCGTACGTCTCTCCATCTCTCCAAATGCCTTAACTAACAACCCAGAAATACCATGTCCGGTGGTCCTTCCGTGATAAGACGACCCTTCTTCGAGAAATCAAACACTGAACTCACCTCCTCCCTGCGCGCAAACTTCGCTGCCCACCAACCCTCTCCAACACCCTCAAAACCCGACTACACAACATGGACCACCAAGACCGACTCCGCCCTATTCGTACCCACACACACGCCCTCACCCCTTACCGAACCGCGAGAATCCTACGACATCACAGTCAAACTGTTCTACCTCCCCAACATACCCACCGACAGACGCTGCGCACAAACACGAGAAGCGATAGAACTAGTGCTGAAAGAGCTGGGCACATCCTCGATAGACCTCCTCATCGTCAGCTTCCCAGGCGTATCCTTCGACGCCGACGATGAAGATTCCGACCTCGATGACGACGACGAACCGCCCTCGCCCCCATCCGCAACACAATCCACAACCGAAAACACCACGGGCGACTGCCCCGATGCCGGCGCACCACCAGAAGACATAGAAACCATGGTAACAACATGGCGGTCGCTCGAGAAACTGCACGCAGAAGGCCTTGTATCGAAACTGGGAATTGCAGAATTCGGAGTCGCGCGCTTGACAAAGTTCCTCGAACAGACCAAGATAAAACCAAGTGTGAATCAGATCAACGTGCGGGACTGCTGTGTCGTACCCAAGCCGTTGATACTGTATGCGAAGCAACAGCAGATCGAGCTGCTGACACATAACGATTGCACCAACATCTTACCGCGCGGCACGCTACGGCAAATACTTGGTTCGGGGGAGAACGGCTCGGGTGTATTGGCAGGAGAAGGAAACCAAGACGGGCTCAAGGGCGACGTAGAGCCGCAGTGGGTAGTGAAATACACGGCTGTGGTCAAAGACAGAGGTGTCGTAGAAAGTAAAGGATACTTCGCTGTTGCGGAACTGAGGGATTCATGAGCACACGAAGAAACGGAATCACTCAAATCGAATACAATGTTCAGATGACTCTGGCCATGAGAATTGACTTATACATATATCAGGCGTCCACAGACTACTCCATACTCGCCCATGAGTAACCACTGACTGGCTGATCTTTTTATCATGGAAACGGCGCAAGCGCTCCGCATACTTTACAATTCAGCAATTCACCGAGGCGCCCCAGATTCGCAGCTATCAATGGTTTACCACACTTCTTACATTTTGCCAGGTCGAATCCACAGTTGTCTGCCTTGGGATATGTTGGCGGTGACTGCGCTGGTGCGCTTGCGCTGGCCCTGCCTGTCTTTTCGTTGAAGTTGTTCATCGTAGATTGTATGGGTGTTCGGCAGGTACGGTAGATGTTTGCTTGTATGTGTGTATGTATCTTTGGTAGTCGGCGTTTGGTTGGATCGACTTCGTGTGTGCTGGTGGGAGAAGAGGTTTGGACGGGGGTATTTGCTAAAAAGAATATGACCATTCACCATGTAAGTACATACTGTGCACTTCACTGCGAGTACTCTACTACGTTGTAGAATGTCACCATGGATCTCCTAGAAGACTCTTGATTATTCGTCTTCAACTTATGGACGCAGCTCGTTCATGGAATCAAAGTAGCGCGAGGCTTCACCACAGCATGGACCTCTTCGACGGACTGAAAGTGCTACGTACGCGACTGATGAGTACTTTGACAGTGAAGTGAGTATGCAGCTATTCGCTGGACTTTCAACTTCACGAAGCCTCCACTGTGAATACATGAGTGCATCACGAAACCCACATACATAAGCTTTTCGGTAGCCCGTCATGCCGCCCCCATATCTCCGACCTACCCCAACCAATATACCGTACACGCACCCGATCTTGACCTTCAATGTCTACCCAAACCAACCCTCCAATCAAACAGTCCGCCAACACTGCATCAAACACCTCATACGAACACGAGCAGACCTCAGATTCCGAAACCGACCTTCTCATCCCTTATGTCTCCGACGACGACGATGATTCCGACGACGAAGCAAACTCCGATAACGAACCTGGTTCCTTCGGCCACTGCTGGCACTGCGATGCCCCCTTACCTCTACCCACCTCAGAGGAAACCAACGTCAACTGTCTCGAGTGTCAGTTTCCGAACTAATTCGCGCGGCGGAAAAAGGACTAATCTGGCTAGGTCATCAATGTGGCGGCTGGTTGGGTCCACCTTGAATGGACTGACGGGAGGAATGAAAGGGGATGTGGCGTTAGATGTTGAGTTTGTGTCGCTGTAGAAGAGATGTTACAACCTAGATGTAACGAAGAACGCATCTTAACCAATACATGCCCATCGCCATTGTAGTCTCTCATAGCTTAACGTTTGTCTTTATATTATGTATCAAGGCAAAGGCATTCTACGTATTGCTCAATGAGCCAAATCACCCTAGCAGTGATACCCATTTCTCATCCAGTATGTGCCATGATAGTATGTTGGTAGTCTAATTCAGCTTGTTCAACCTCCAGTAGTTCCTAATCGAAATCTTTCTGGTTATTCTGGTGAAAGTTTAGAGAGTGCGGTCACTCCCATGCACACATCCGTGCATGGCTGCTCATCATGTTCTCAAACGACAGCAGCATTGCGCATTCACTCCTCCGCATCGTCAGTCAACCGTGTTTGACCCCAACACACAGCGAACCCTCAGAATTCCTACCAGAAGCACATACGGACTTACCACTCCGAGGTTTCTTCGCAACCCAGCTCGAAGTATCAACATCGTGTCAAAAGGTCCCATCATGTCCACCCAAAGCCAATCCAAGCCGCTGGAGGTGTACTTCTCCGTCTACGGCTCTGCCCATACAAATCCGGTTATACTTAGCATTTCTGGTACAACATGCTCAACCCCTACTCCTACCTCCACCCCTACTGCCACTTCAAGGTACACCTCTCCACCCTCAACCAGCCCCAAACTCTCACTAATAACACCACCCCCATCAACCAGCGGCGCCTTAACGCCCTCACCTAGCTCTTCACGATCCTCCCCTTCGCCTTCCGATATGCACAACCACAGCATGTACGTCCAAACCGACAAAGGCATATACTACCAAGACGAAGGAGAAAAAGACAGGAACGGGAACGTGATGATCCTAAAGGACCCGTGTGAAGATTGCGGAGGGAAAGTAGTTTGGGCGACCAAGGGGCCGTGGTTGTTGATTTGTCGGGATTGTGGGGAGATTCAGTAGGGATGAGAAGGTGGACTGGGAAATGGGAAAAGTATGGTGGATGAGACTTTGGAGAAATGAGGGATGAGGACGTGTGTGTAAGTAATGGTTGTATAGCGCGAGAAGATGGGTTGTATGTATGTAGTAGGTGACTCCTGTTTCTTGACTTCGGCGCCACGAGGGTAATGGATGAGGTATTCTCTCTTGAAGGTTGAGACTACCAACTCAAGGTATATGGATAGCGTTTGACTCGTTCTTCTGTCTACCCACATTTTGATAACTCCTCGGAAGTCTTTCTAATGTCTCGTTGGGATACTGTCATGGATGCACAGTGTACAGTGCGTTAGTCCTTGGACTATGAGCATCACGAATGGTGCTGTCTACCGTAGCATGACAACCACATGTTTTGTAGTCTAATCATTCGCATGAACCTGGTCAAAGATGTAGACACTAGTGCATGTCCTAAATGCCAATACAACGGGAATTCGTCATATCAGACTACGACTAGAAAGGACATCCCTTTAACTCCTCATTCCCGGTTGGATGGCCGCTGGAACTAGATGCGCGGACCCAGCGGGAGCAAGCGCTTGGATAGAGACGCCGTTCATCCAAGCGACGTCCCCATGAGGAAATCCCTTTGTCCCCAACCATGCGGGCCGTTGGGGTCTGGAAAGAGTTCCCGGTATGATCAGACCGTGTTTTAGGGTTTTGGAAGGAATGCGCATGTCGGAGATGAAGTGTTCCTTCCGGTCTTCGCCGATGAGGATCTTGGTATATGGACTTGGCTTTATCTGGCCAGCGCGTATAGGCTGACGACAACGACAGATAGTAACATGGCGCTATGTTATCAACGCTATCGCATCGTTCCGAAGTCGACATCCTCGCGTACGATAGCACATCGTTAGGCCACCAGACCTCGGGAAGTTTGGTACACATGTCGAGATACGTTAGCGCCATCAAAGTCAACAGCTAAGCATGAAGCGGCTCATCACACGCATATCCTCATCATCGTCTTTCGTGTCAGCAAAACTCAAAGTTGGTGGCGCAACGCCCTAGTCCAGGCACACGTCCCACCGTGGGTCAAGATGTACACCGATCAGGAGGTATAACCACGAGGTCGCCTTATCGATAGGAATTAGGTTTGCCGTGCCGCATGTCTTCTTTCTTTTGGTCGATGGAATGGGACAAGCGACGCCCATCCCAGCGCTACTGCGACCAAAACGTCTGCCAGTGATGGTCAGGTGCCACACACCCTTCTGGTAGTATCGCCGTCATGGAGCCGACGGCAGCGTATTCGTACTTTTTGAATGGTTTGCAGAGTGAGGTTTTATTGGTTGGGGGGATCGAGATTGATGCTCCAAATTCGAGAGTGATGTTTACCTCAC